GGGCTGGGGTAAGGGATGGGGTGGAAGGGGGTTTATTACCGGATAATGGTTGTTTAGGATTCGCTGAATGTTTCTAATATTTTGTACCTTATTCTAAGACATCTTCAGTAGTGGACCTTGGGGTCATTGAGTGTTTCGGCCATTATCAATAGACACTTTCACCCTAGGAAGGCCTCGCTGGGGTTGATCATGTGCCAGGGTGTGTCTTGCTAATTATTACTATTAGGTTCATTAACATTACTTTCTGACTTAATTTGCTACTGTTTTTACGGGCTAAGGTTAGTTTATTATTTTAATTGTGCCTATTATGTATGAAATTTACTATTGCAGGTACATTTACGTTGATGTGATTAGGTCATGCTTCGAGCCACGTTAAAAGAAAATGAGATCAACCACTTCATAATCACACTGAACCCATTTTCTGATGACTAAACCAAAGTTTAATTTATCCAAGTCCTACATTATTAATAAATATGGACATTTTTGTTTTTGAAGCTGCATAGTAATTGGGTTTGTGAAACCACTGGACAGCAGGGACAGAGTCGTCATTCATTCCTTGACCTCCTACTGCTAAATCATATGTAGGTTTGGGAGGGGCTTGGCTCAATTCAGGCATTCATCAGGTAACAGTGGGGTACATGCTGGTTAGTTCAACAGTCTATCACATATGAAGATACAGGCTGATGCTCTGCCTGCTGGGCTTTGCTGCCTGACGCACCTCTGCCAGTGCCTTTGAACAGGCGTGCTCCTCTGAACACCTCCCTGGGCCCGACTAGTGCATGAGTGTCACCACTAGTGCCAACTTACCTCAAGGATGATTTTTCTTTGGTGTGACCAAGCGGAGGGGATTGGGGCTGCGGCAGGGGAATTGTTAAGGGTCATCCTTATATTTACCTTCAGGGTGAAGGGACTGGGGTAAGGGATGGGGTGGAAGGGGGTTTATTACCGGATAATGGTTGTTTTACGTTGATGTGATTAGGTCATGCTTTATTTGGCCCCCAACTCCCCTCTCCTCCTTGGCACAAACACTGCCTTTCTCTGCCTCCTCTGCCAGTTCCCTGATGGCTTTCCTGCACCCTGCTCTTGTACATCTCATGTCGTGATACAGTTGACGACCCGACCACCATGACCATGCCCCTGCATCCTACTTCAACGAGGCATGTCATGGCTTTCTAGCCGGCCTCTCTGCATTCTGCTGCCAGCTCTGCATACTTCACATGTTTCCACTCATTGGTGGCCTCCATGACTTCCTCCCATGGGACGGTGAGCTCCACCATCAGAATGGTCCTGCGTGGCTCTGACCACATGATCAGGTCTGGCCGGAGCAAAGGTTCTGTGATCTCTCTGGGGAATTGGAGTTGCCTGGTGAGAGTACTGTTGATGTTACTCTCTGGTGAGGGAGGTTGACGTTCTCCCCGGCCTTTGCGAATCGTATGGGACGTCTTGCTGGGGTGGAAGGTCCGCTGTTGGCCTCCTGTCTGCATGACTACGCCACCTCGACCTGCTTCCTTAATACCAGGTCATGATGCCACCACCTCGACTTGCTTCCTTAATACCAGGTCATGATGCCACCTGTAGCAGCCTTGGGACAATGAGGTCTTGCAGCCTGACAGGATGTGCTGGATGCTTGCGTTGCTGGTGCTGCACAGGGCACAGGGCTCTTTCGCATCAAATCACTGGTGGAGATTTCTTACATATACAGTAGATACAACCATACACACTCGTACCTGTGGTCAATATACAGTGTACAAGTAGCGTAATCCCCAATCTGTGTCAATATAAGTGTACAAGTAGCGTAATCCCCAATCTGCCTGGTTTGGACTGTGGCAGGGAGTTGCAGAAACTAACGAAAACCTATACACACAATGAAAATATATGCACTCCATGCTCCTGCATGTACTGTATATGCCCCGGGAAGAAAATAATGGGTGCATGTAGAATTCCTTGTCAGTGAATTAAAAGTGCAATGTGATTGGCTCACAGTTCAGCGCTTGTTTCCATTGTGCTGCGACTTGACCGCATGTCAGTTTGTTAGTGCACATTTATCAAACATTGTTTGTTTTGGTGGAGGAGTAGGGGGCAGTGGACCTCTGTCTGACACGGGTGGATATGGCCCAGCAGTAATTGTCAAAACGCCAGAACTGGAGATGTGCATATATTTCTGTGTATGAGAGGAAGGAAATGAGGAGGAAGAGGCAGAGAGAGCAAGGGAGAGATGGGAAAGGATGGGGAGGTGCGCAGAGGAGCCGAGAGAGTGAAGCGGAGGAGAGAGAGAGAAGCAGCGGTTCGCCTCATCCTGCTGCTCTCTCAGCATCCGTTCTCTGAGAGGAAAGATAACGGGAAGAAAAGAGGAGCCCAACCTACTTATGAGAAACAATTTAAAAGGAAAGAAAATATAATTAACCAGGGTCTTGCTTTCTGTCGTCCACTATCGCCCCACGCAGCTTTCGCAGGGCTGCGCGAAAGTTTCCACCAGGGGGAGAAGGAGGAGCGCCCTCTCTGTGCTGTGGGGATGATCGTCGGATGCTGAATTTTCATTCCTGGAGGCAGGAATGTAGAAACTGTGGAGACCGGCTTGTCTTGGATTGATTTGCGGTGAATCTGTCGGAGGGAGAGATCTCACAGTGCCTCCCCTTTTCCCACTGTGAGTTTCACACTTGCATGCACGCATTTTCCAGCAGAACACGCGTCATTATTTCACTGTGGAAAGGTGGAGTATCTTACAGGAGCAGCATTCAAAAGATTTTGCCCACGTCCAGGAGTGTGGAAGGAGAGAAACACTTGATTTGCAGAACGACTGAAGGACATCTTTCATATTTGTATTTGGGGGAAAAAAGTAAGTTTCCAGCAGATACATCTTCTGATTGATCTGTGATTCTCCAGGACTGGGAAAGGATTTTAAAAAAAAAATCTTTCCCTTGTGGATCAGCTTCAGAGAGTCTCGTGGACAGTATGGTTTTGGATGACGTGTAAAGGTATGGTTATCTATTCGTTCATATATATATAAATATACATATTATCATCATCTCACCGAAGGGCTTTGAGAAAATGGCAGATTTTGGATCCAGAAAAAAGGGCTCCACTGTAGGGAGACTGAGGATGGGAGGGAATGAAGGAGGACTGAAGGTTGTCTGTGCTCTGGCCAGTTTTTTGCAGAAAAGTGCAAAGTTGTAATAAATCTTTCCTTAAAACAACAGAACATCCTCTGTTCCTTGCATATAAACCAGAACGTTTCCATTGATAATGTGAGGCTGCTCCCCATTCCAGTCATCTGCATACTTTTGCATGTACGTTTGCTGGAAGGGGAGATGTCTGACTGCAAAGCATTTCATCTCATCCCTGCTACATAACGGGTTATCACCAGGGGAAGCTGCCAGTGGAAGCAACATAATTGCAGCTGCTGTTTTTTTTTTCTCCCCATCCCTTATTCTTTCATCGTCCTTGCAGCAGCAGTCTGTGTGTGAATTACTTTTGTTTCTCTGACCGCTGAAGAGGGCTGTGCATTTCAAAAGCTGGATTTTATCTCTTGCTCACAAAGAACTGATAGTGTCCAATAATGCAATATCTGTCTCCTTAGCTCCTCTGCCTGCGTTTATCTGTGGATGTATGTGTGTGTGCAAGTTTAACTACACAGTATAAGATCTGGTCCCCTTTCTCAGGCTGTCTTCATTCAGTCGCGTTGTCTGCCCCCGGTGAGACGGCCAGGGAGCAGATCTCTACGTATGTTCTCACTCTGGAAGTTTTTTTTTTTTTTTTTTAATGTAGGGACTTGGGAGATGGAAAATGTGCACAGTAAAAGGCAGACATGGGTGTAAACTATCATGTTGATGATAAGTAAAAGGCTGAGAATATCCATGCCTACACAACCAACAAATATTAGGACGAATTCCATAAAGAATATACCAGCAGGCTCCTAGCTCTTACCCAGTTTGGTCAAACGATACTTTATGTACCTCCTCATGCAACGCACAAACGAGTGATCATTAAATGTCCTTGTCTGTGGGAAAAAAAAAAAAATCAAACAGAGTATAGCAGAACATCCACTGGGGGGAAGTGGAGCCTTTATAGGAAGCTGATGACAGTTCCTTCTCTATTCATTCTATTCGTAATGAGCTTCATCTACAGTACGTGTGTGCCAGCTGAGTGCACTTTTGTGCACGGATGTTGCAAGGGCGAACATTTAACTCAGTGAAAGCCAGTTTCTGAGTGTGTTATCTGTGTGGGTGTGTGTATTTGTCCAGTGCTTTGAGCTTCATCCCTATTTTGATGTTTTATTGAGTGTTAACCATGGCAGTACTGACGCACTGCTTCTGATGCAGACGAGCGTGATTGAAAGGAAAGCACTAAGCCTGACCCATGTTTTTCTTTCTAACACTGGAATTAGAAAATGCTGCATTCATCTCTTTACACACCGTGGATTTTGGTTTTGGATGATTTGGTTCAGCTGTGGGATTTTCTGTATCTACGTACCAATTTGACTTTCTGCTTCTATAGGGATAATACATTTCAGCTTCATGAAGGCTAAAAACAGTACAGTATGCAGCCAAGATATTCTTGTCATTTATGGTGTTGATGAAGGAGTCAAAGATGTGGCAACACCGTTTTCAGTGGATCCACTGAGTCAGAGGAAGCACAGAACAGAAGGGAAGTGTCTCCCCCACTCTGTACCGTCCAACACCTCAGGATTATTCATTGCTCCTGACATTGTGTTCCACATGAGGCAGAAAAAGATGAAATGACTGTAATGACGCAAAAAAAAAAATAAAAAAAATAAAAAGGGCTCAGCTTTTTTGATTTATCGCTGGCAGACAAAAGTTTGAATGGGTACGCGTACTGAGTCAGTGTAGGCAGCTCGAATGGACACACCTGCTTCTCTCTATCATAAATCATTTGCAATCACACGTCACTGTGCATCTGTCACTTACAGTCACTGCAAATTAGACCCAACGTTTTTATCGCTGTCTTAATCAAATTGGCAGTCTTTAGACTTCAAGTGAGTGTCAAGAACGTCGCCAATTAGGAGCTTTTCTCAGAATGTCTTACCTCATTATGGCGTTAACTAACAAGTTATATTAGGTTCCTTTACAAGTAAGTAATGTGTTAAACAAGGTGTCGCTGGTGGAATGGGAATGTAGTAAAGAAATAAAACCTGGTGTCTGACTGAGGGAGACTGAATAATCAATCATACATGGGAAAAAACTCGAGAAAGGGTTTAGACATTTTGAATAAAAATACCAGATTATACGTTAAAAGAGTTGCTACACCTCTGCTATATACTTTTAATTATTGTAGATTTCATAGTTTGCTTATAAATGCATTGTGATTTAGTGGTCTAACATAAATCTTTTTGACCAAAATACTTTAACAAAATGTTATGTATTGGCTAAATATAAAAATAATTATCTAAGAAACTAGCGGGATATTAATATTGTAGACCAAAAGTGCTACAACAAGAATACATCTGTATGCAAAAGCTTGTTTAAAAAAAAAAAGTATATCACATAAAGGTAGAAAATAACATACAGTATGTGACACTGAATATAACCCCAGAGCTTTGGAAAAAAAGTGTTTAAAAATAGGTCAAATTTGTTTCAGTATTTGAAAAAATCTCCTGCCGTAATTTGGCATTTCAAGCTTTAAAATTCCTTTAAAGACCAAAGGGATTCAGTTTGAAACGTGCCAATTGGTTTTTGTCTTTGTGTAATGGAGAAAACATATCATTTGATACAGTTCTACAAAAATATATTGAAGTGCTGTTATGTGGCCACAGGATAGTTATAAAGGGATTTCAGACAAAAATAAAATCTGTAACCAGAAGCAGAATAGTATATTGTTAGCCTTAAGTCCATTAAGGACATGGTAGAAAAATCAATGATCAGCGACTGAAACGCTGGGTTTCAAATTTATTCATTTATTTTTGTGTTTTCCTGTCTGACCTTTAGAGACTGTTGGGAATATGTACTCTGGAAATATCAGATTTAAACTTACTGAAGCAAAAAGAATTGTAGATACACATGAAACAATACTTTTGCCTCTTTGCTAATGTTGGTGCATGGACTCAAATAGATCTGTTGCAGCACTGCTGTGTCCAGGAGTTCAATTTGCTTTTGTGTTTCTGAGAAAAAAAAAAATCAATACTTGGAGAATTTTATAGCACACACATATTTATCCCACAGCTACTGTACATAGCTTCACCTAATGCATTCACTTGACAGGTAATTTACATTATATTTATGCTGCAGCCATGGTTACAGTGTCACATAACTATTATCTAGATATACGGGCCTAGGATGGAAACCTGCTGCTGAATGTGCATATTCCGTTATCCATGTGAAAATAAGTATTTTAAGAAATATATTTATTTTTATTTGCACATACTTTGTTGCCAGCCATTCTAGTTGTCATTCTACATTTATTCTTTCATGGTGTGCTTATTCATGCGGTGCTTGAAACTGATGGGAAGTCCTGGAGTCTAGATGTGTCTCAGATGTGTCTGAAACTTCCTGGCTTATCATAAAGAGGCGGCTCAGACAGAGGAGTGTGCAGACAGTAGGAAAGTTAAAGTGATTTACCATCAAAAGTGCGGAAAACTGTGAAAAGTGTACTCACAGTTATTGCAGTAGAGAAAAACATCTATAGTATATGAGACATTTATTTCAAATGACATTTTAGTCACTGGAGAGCAGGCTGTGAAAAAATACAACTGATTTGTAGTCAGGCCCCTTTCTGCACTTATGGGGTAAAACACAATATGCTCCAACAGCTGGGTCATTTATGGAAAATGCTTACTCATGATGGCCGACTGCTACCAAAGGGAGGGGCAATGATTGCGTTTTAATACCGACTGATCACTTTAACACAACTTGTTTAAAAGCAAAAATACAGCATGGCAGCAATTTGTTAAGAACCCATGGAAAAGTTTTCCATCCCAGACTGTAGTCCATGTAAGAAAGACAGAGACGAGAAAGAAGGACACAAAGGATTTCTGTCTGTTGTTCATGTGATGTGCTAAGTGGCTGCTGGTGGCAGTGTGTAGCTCCTCTGGGATACAGTAATCACAGGGAGGCTGTCTGGGTAGAAGTGCGGACTGATATACGCACGACCTCTGACGACGGTGACCCTGCTGTTGGTGCCACTTTGAAGTATGACCTTTCCCGGGTGAGCTGTAGAGGGCGACGGGTGCAGGAAAAAGTCATTTCCTGTGTGTGTCGACAGAAAGCATTAGTAAGGTTCAAGGGTGATGTACTGCACCAAGAGTAAGGGGCACACACTGTATTTGTGAATGGGGCTGAACAGAAAGGACTGACAGAATAATAGTCCAAGTTAAAGTCCCACACATTATGCTCTGCTCTGACCTTTGTCTTCCTTGTTACGTATAGTAAGTCTTACCCTTCACACTTCAAACACTTTACAGGTTTTTCTGTCAGTTTACAATATGGAAAAACCATGTTTTGAATATAGGGTTTGAACAACTGATCAACTAGCTAACAAAACAGTCATTAGATTGAGAAAAAAGGTTCACATATATATCTGTTGGAAAATACAGTACATGTTGCGAAAATCTGACAAATCTCTCAGGTAAATCACTTCAAGGCATTTCAATCTGTAACTTATTTTCTGTTTATACCTAGAATCAGTGGAACCAAGCTGTTATAAAAATGAATCATGGAAATGCCAATTGTCTGCAGATTGTTATTCAAGCCTGCAGTGTCCACAAGGCTCTCCACAGGACATGGAAATCATGTTACATGTTACAGTGTGTGAGGAGGGTACAATTACTGATTCAAGAAATGTTCCAATTAGCATTATAATATATGGCCATTTGCCTTTGTTACACATGGTTAAGCAATCAGTCAACAAAAAAGTTCTATTCCATGATCAATTTCTTTTTTAACTGTAATTCTGGCTTAAAGGAAATATAAGTAATACATTTGTATACCGTTTGCATATACAATATTAATGAAATATGCATTAT